GTGTTTTAGAGTGGCCTGTTCCTATTGATGTGAAGAGAGTTCGCGGTTTCCTTGGATTGACGGGTTATTATTGCAAATTCATACGAGATTATGGAAAAATTTCCAAGCCATTGACTGCTCTTACCAAGAAGGATGGATTCTTTTGGTCCAGTGAGGCACAAAAGGCATTTGAGTTACTCAAAGAAAAGATGACCACGGTGCCAGTTTTGGCCTTACCTAACTTTTTTAAAGAATTTATTATCGAATGTGATGCCTCCGAGCTTGGTTTGGTAGCGATCTTGATGCAGGAGGGGCTTCCTATGTCTTATTTTAGCAAGGCTCTTGGGGAAAGGAATCTAACTAAATCAGCGTATGAGAGGGAGCTTATGGCTATGACTCTAGCTATCCAACATTGGCGTTCCTACCTTCTTGGTCATTGGTTTGTCGTGAGGACAGATCAGAAAAGTTTGAGGCAATTAATGCAGCAGCATATTACCACTATCAGCCAGCAGAACTGGATTGCCAAGCTCCTCGGTTACCAATTTGACATTGAGTATAAGCCTAGTCAGGAGAACAAGGGGGCCGATGTTCTATCTCATATGTTTGGAGATTTAGAACTCAATTCTATGCTCCATACACTTAGCTAGATGGGAAACAAGGAATTGATTGAAGAGGTACATAAAGATGCCCATTTACTGCAAATTTTTTCTGCATTGCAACACCAACAGCCCACCAAACCAAGATTCACCTACACTAAAGGGGTTTTGTTATATCAAGGGCGTTTGTTAATCTCTAACCAATTTGCTTGGATACCTACCTTGTTAAATGAGTTCCATACCACTTCATAGGGTGGTCATTCTGATTTTTTATAGAACTTATAGAAGGGTGGCAGCCAACTTATTTTGGTTCGGTATGAGACCTTCAGTTCAGAATTTTGTGCAAGAATGTGATACTTGTCAACGGCAAAAATATCTAGCTGCATCCCCTACTGGCTTGTTACAGCCATTGCCAATTCCAAAACAGATTTAGGAAGAAATTTCTTTAGATTTCATCACTGGGCTGCCCAAATCTAGAGGGTTTGATGCTATTTTAGTTGTGGTGGGCCGGTTGTCAAAATATAGTCATTTCATCCCTCAAAAACACTCTTACTTTGCTAAAACAGTTGCTGAAGTATTCACTAAAGATGTGGTGAAACTACATGGGATTCCTGCTTCCATTTTAAGTGATAGAGACCCTATTTTTACTAGTAGTTTTTGGAAAAAGTTGTTTAAAATGCAGGGGACGCAACTGAAAATGAGTACCGCATATCATCCTCAGACCGATGGACAAACTGAGGTTGTAAACAGGTGCCTTGAGACTTACTTGAGATGTTTTATTGCTGACCAACCTAAATCTTGGGTTATCTGGTTGCCGTGGGCAGAATTTTGGTACAATACCACCTTTCATGCATATATAAGGTGCACTCCTTTTGAGGTGGTATATGGACGGACACTCTCGATAATAACTCGGTTCTTGCCTTGTGAAATCAAGGTGGAGGCAGTCGGGAAAGAGCTTAAGGATAGAGATGAGGCCCTCAAGCAGTTCAAGTTGCATTTGAACGGAGCCCAAAGCTCTATGAAGGTTCAAGCTGATAAGAAGCGCATTAATCGACAGTATGACATAGGTGAGAAGCTATTTCTAAAACTCAGGCTTCATGGTCAGCAATCTATGGGTGCAAAAATTTGCCCAAAATTATCCTCTCGCTACTATGGTCCTTTCACTATCTTGAGCAAGGTAGGGAAGGTTGCTTACCAGCTTCAATTACCCACAGCATCTCGCATTTACTCTGTTTTTCATGTTTCCCTCCTTAAGAAAGCTATTGGAAACTACTCAGAAAATAATAATTTACCTACTGATTTGGAAGGGGATCTTAATTCCCCTTTGGAGCCTACCGTTGTTTTGGCCTCTCGGGTCGTCACTAAGAAAGGGGTGTCAATTTCTCAACTGCTGATCCAATGGAAGGAAAAATCAACTGAAGAGGCTACTTGGGAGGAAGAGTACAACATTTGCAGTCAGTTCCCTCACTTCAGGCTTGAGGACAAGCCTAGTTTTCATGGAGAGGATTATGATAGGCCCTTAATTCATAAAGAAGGCCCAAATGCATTTTTGTCCAAGAATTTATCTAAACCCCTAATTTGGAAAGTATACGAGAGAAATAAAAAAAAAGAAAGGGGAGGTTAGTAGTGGCCAGGTGGCACAGTAGAGTGGTATGTAGAGAGAGTTTTGTTATAAGAGAAGGATGCGAAAAGAGAAAAAAGGGGGACAAGAATCAAGTTTTGTGGGCAGAGGTGCATTCTGAGAGGAGCATAGCTCTGGATAGGGGATTACTCAAATTCTCTGGCTTATTGTCTTTATTTTTTCGTAATCAATACATACCTCATTTTCTTTCTATCTCAATACCATTTTCATTCCTTTTCTTTTTTTGTTACTCTTATGTTCATCATTTTGCTGTCTATGGATTCCTAAAACTTCGGCATAGCATCAATGACTGATTTTATCCCGTTCTCCTTCTACCTTTCCCAACCTCGCTTCCATTTCTTCCGCTTGTCCTCTTTTTTTCTTTGTTGGCATTCATTGATCCAATGATCCGACAGGTCAGACCAAATAATATGATCCCAAGCAAAAACATATAAAAGTGAAACAGAGAATTGAAGAAGAAAATATACTTTGATTCTGTATTAATGGCAAAAGAAGAAATACAGCAAAGGGATGACTCCTTACTGCTCAAAGCAATGCTCCTAATAGAGAAACCACTAAGTTTCCTCTATCCAAGATATAAAAAAAAAAACAGTCTCCTTCCACAACCTCGCATCATTCCCTAAATAACAGAAGGATATTCCACTCTCTCTCCCCTAACTGCCCACGCCCCCTTCTCTCATGCCACGTCAGCTCTTTCTCTTTTCTTCCGTGAGTACACTACCAAATTCTTAGGGAATGACTTTGTCTAGTAGGCCAATGGCTCAATAGGACCAATATGGAATTGGGCTCTATGAGAAGGTAGGGGGGAGTGAGAGAGAGATAGAGAGCAGTAAACTTGTTTATTGTATAGTTATGTTAACAAATGGAAATTTTTATAAAATAACCACAAAATTATAATGGCCAGGTTGGTTTATTATGGTGGCCCCACCACATGTGGCTGCCTGCTGCCACAAGCATGGTGCTGTGGCACCTCTCCCTTGTTCTTGTCTCCATTTTGTGGGTGCCTCGCTGCAGGGAAAAATTCTTGTATAGACTAAACTAATTAGTCACTGACACGTCATCATTTTAAATAATAGTATGAATTTCCATGCCAGACATCTTTGCATTAAAAGTGATAATGATAGCCATTCTGTTGTCATTCATTTGCACTTCCTTTTATTTCTTTCCTTGTTAAATTAGGTTATGAAATTCAGTTCTTTTGTCTTAATTTTTTAAGCTCTGCTCTTTCTTTGTCATTACATGTTTAATTCTCTGTAGTGCATTTATATTTGAGTTTGTGATACTTTCAGTGAGTTGTATCTGGTAAAAAAAATGTTTTCTTGATAAGTTTTTGGTTATTTTTTAAAAGAAAAATATGTTCTTCAGGTCCCTTTAGTGCAATTTTCCTTTGTGTTATACCAACCAATGCTTTCTGCCTTCCTCTGCTATACTTCTATGGTATAGGCTTTTGGTTGACGCCATGTCCTATCAATGACTTTTCTACCTACAAAGTGCATAAAATAACTATTTTACAAGACAAAAATTTTCAACTAGGCTCATTGAGTGGGATATGGGGTGATTTAGTGAAATTCATCTTAATTCCATAGGGGAAAATGCCTAAAAATATTTACAATGATATCAGGACTATTATATTTGATTAGGAACTTATGATATAGACTAAATATAGTAATAACAAATATCTGTGAGCTCAGCTCAGGATAACAACATGAGATTTTGTGAATTCTTGAAATGCCAAGAAAAATTGAAAGGAAGAAGACACTGTAATGGCCCTCCGAGAACCGCACTTACCAGCCTTAGAGTAGGGTTACCCCTCTCACTATCTATTTCTTTCCTCTCTTGCGATCTTTGCCAAGTGTTCTGTTATTTTCTCATCGTCTCACTCCTCAAACTCATCATTCTTCCCCTGCATTGTAACGAACTCCTCAATTGGCAGCACCTCTCTTGCTCCATAATCCTTGCCATAATCTATTATGAAAATCACTTTGCTACTCTCACTTTTCTTCTTTCTTTCATATACCTGCCCCTCCTTTGTATTTCCTTTTCTGTAATTCATCCTCTTTCTCCTAGTATAGACGTTGCTTTACAGGTCTATCAGATATACTTTCTCTAAAATTAAGGGTATGTTTGAAAGCTCATATCACTGCTGAAATTTTCCATTTATCATCACTATCAGTTATCTGGTACTGTTTTTTAATGCCTAATCAAATGTTTAAATTGAAAAAAGGATGAACGATGGCCATTCAATCCTTTCAAGTCCTTGCTTTAATTATTAGATGATAGTAGGATGTTATATTACTGTCTCCTTTGTTAAAAAATGGTGTTATTTTCTATGATAGGGTTAACAAAAATGCCTTCAATTTGGAAGAACTTCAAACACGAGTTAATGAGGGTTTATAAAAACTTTTCTTCAAAAACTCCCAAACAAGGGTTACTGTTAAATAAACCTTCTCCTTCCTTTCGGTTTTTTTTCCCCCCCTAAAATTACCTCACAAAAAAAGCCTTAGATGATTACGCGAAGGATTTTGGGGGATTCTCTTGAGAAACACTTATCATGGTGCAAACTGCCAAGTGTAAACACATTTAATCCATATATTTGCGTGTCAAAGGCAGTGCTTGAGGGGATGAATTTATCACTATGATTACTGACATAAATCTGCAAACTTAATTGTTTTCTAATAATTTCTTATAATTTAATAGGAATATATAAGATATTAAGATTAAACAATGCACTGATAGTTATTGCATTAGCATTGCTTACCAGTTACATAATTGTTGTATGATAGGAGGTTCACCAGTAATGCTTCCTTTACCAATGGCAGCTCTTGTCAGTTTATCCATTACTTTTAAACTTGACAAGAGCCTGGAGTATATCCATGCTATTACCGGAGCAGCTTTGGAAAATTGTGCATCGGGCTGCCCTTGGCCTAGCATGCCGATAATTGGCTCTCTATGGGCCCAAAAGGTTCGCCGTTGGCACAACTTCATTGTTGTATCATGTTCCCGTTCTGTGTTTAGACATAATAATGAGTCTGTTGCTCAGCTATTGAGAAGTTGTTTCTCCTCATTCCTTGGAACATTGTGTGTTTCAACCTCAAAGCTGACTGCTGAGTGTAGTGTGAATGGCCTGTTGGGTAGCAGCATTACTGCCCCTGGTGCCTATCCGTATGTTGCACCAGGATTCCTTTTCCTTCGTTCCTGTCGAAATATACACAATGTGCAGTATCTAAACGATATAATTGTGGGTCTTGTGACAGAGTACTCTAATGAATTAGCTGGCAGAAGGACAGGTGCCGGCTCTCGCCACTTAAAATCCAATGAAGTATCACTATCCCTAGCTGCTCAAAGTGCAAAAGAGGTGGCAATGCTTGGTGCAAGTCTTTTATGTGCAGCAGGTGGTCTACAACTGGTCCAGGAATTGTACAAAGAGACTATTCCTACCTGGCTGCTGTCATCAAGGGATGTGAAGCAGAACAGTGATTCTGTTGTGTCCTATATACTTGAGGGTTATGCTATGGCATATCTGTTGATTTTGTCTGGGTCAATTATATGGGGTGTTGGGACCAAGTTACCATCGGGAACATTCACTAGAAGGAATCGTACCATTGATGTCCATTTGGACTTCTTGGCAGAAGTCATGGAGAAGAAAATTTCACTCAATTGCAATCCTATTACATGGAAAACTTATGTCTGTTGTTTAGTGGGATTAATTGTTAGTCTTGCACCAGCATGGATTCAAGAAGTGAAGGTGGACACTTTGAGGAAATTGGCACGTGGATTAAGTAGATGGAATGAACATGAACTGGCATTTTCTTTACTACATAGAGGGGGGACGGCAGCTATGGGAGCTCTTGCTGAACTTGTTAATGTGGTTGAGTCTGAACATATGATGCCGCGCTATAGTTGAATGTCTGAAAATATGATGTCAAAATTGCTCAAGAGAAAATAGCAAAGTATACTCTTGGATTCTACAAGTGAGATGGGACTTACTATTTTCTCTCAATCATTATAGAATGGACTGTAGAGTCGTCACCGTAATGTGCTGCACCATAAGCCTAGGCACTGATGAAATTCTTTTTAGAAATAAAAAGGATTGCTCATGAAAAATTTTAAATCTGTCTGTCTGATACTTATATTTAGATATTATTTAAGACTTTCATCGGTTCATGTATTAATCAAATGCCACCAATGTTTAATTGATTTTGAAAAACAAAAAAGGAAAAAATAAGCGAAACAAAGAGGTTGTAACTTACGTGGGAATCGAGACTGAGAGTCGAGACTGGGAAATAGTTATGCACATTGCAGTTGTATCTTTCAATTAAGGGAAATTTCAAAAAATTTGTTCTGATACTCTGACCTGTGCATTCTGATCTTATTTTCGGCATTTGAAACAAATGGTTCTTAATTTTTTTTTTATCTGTGCATTTTACTACAAGGTTTATTTAACCTAGGTGTATAATAAGAGATTATTAAATAATAATTCTTTTATCAAAAGTTATAATATTTAATATTAACAATGTATTAATATGACTTATAAATGAGTTAGTAAGATAACTTGCTATGATAAAATTTAAAAGTTATATTGTTTATAATTTAACCTAGGTGTATAATAAGAGATTATTAAATAATAATTCTTTTATCAAAAGTTATAATATTTAATATTAACAATGTATTAAGTTGACTTATAAATGAGTTAGTAAGATAACTTGCTATGATAAAATTTAAAAGTTATATTGTTTATAATTTAATTTTTAATAAATTTTGCAGGGTAAGAATTTTCAAATATTATATATATAAAATAATTTAATAGTTATGTATTTTTTTTAAAAATTCAACCCTATTTTTTTAAAATTTTTCACTTTCATCTTTAATTCTTAAGCTATTTTAAGCATTTCTTTTATTTTTCTAACAACTATTTCAATAGATTTAATGGTTGTGGTTGAAATTTATGTAATAAAAATATGAAAGAGATGTCTAAAATAAAAGATTGAATGGAATCAAGTGATTTATGTTTGGAATAATGTTGTAGAAACTTTATTTAATTTTTCCTTATTTTTAATTCTTTATTTTCTCTTTTCAAATAACATGTAAACATTTTTATCAAATCTAGTCACGTAAATAACTATATTTTTTTAACATTGTCATATTTTAAAATGTGATATTTGTAAATAAAATTAATTAAATTTATAAATATTATATACTCATCTCAATTCTCTTATAAACAAACGGGACTCGACTAAATTGAAATAGGAATAATAACTAAAAAAATGTAGTTAAATGTTAAAAATTGCAGGAAAATTATTTTTTGAATTTTTTTTAACTAATTTTATTTTGTAGCTTAAGTCAATTTTGCTTAAGTCATAATAATTTGACTTAAGTAAAATTATGATACTTAATTTTACCTTAAGTTAAACTTTATTACATAAGCAAATATTAAAATATCTTGTATGACTTAAGTAAATTAATAATTATTTAAACAATATTCATCTAGTAAGTTATTTTGTTTGTTATAACTTTTGCTTAAGTGAAGAAAATATGATTTAAACAAAATTTACAAAAATTATGTGAAGTAGATATGACTAATGTAAAAAGATAACATATGAAAGATTTAAAATGACATTAAATAATCTATCAATATAGAATTTAATTTTTATAATGAATTGATACTGATAATGAATGTAAAATTTTAATTCTAAAAATCATAAATTTTACATATAGAATTTATGGAGAACTTTAAAGATTTAAAATGATATTTAACATTTTATTAATTTAAAAGTTATTTTTAATTATAAATTAAAACTGTACTGATACATGTAAATACAAACCTTTTTAAAATTAAAAATGACTATAAATATAAGCACACGAAAATATAAAATAATTAATTTTTAAAATTTAAAAAATAATTTTACAAATGATTATGGAGAATTAAATCATAATTATATGAAAATTAATATTATTATATTGCATGTCAAAAAATATGAATGATTTATTTTGTTTAAAATACATTTAACAGTTTTAAAAAAATTCACTCACTCATACACTACTTATTTACTAACTAACTTTAGTATTAGGCTTAATTTATATTGAATTTTGTAAGTTTTAGAGAAATAGTAAATTTTTACTCTATATTTTTATTTGTACATATTAAAAAATAAAATCTCAATACAATTAGGTTATAACTGCTAAAAATAGATAGAAGATGTTGCGTGTCCCAATTCAAAATGGTCTGATTAACGGTCAGAGACACTTCTTCATTAATTTTTTAGTAGTTGTGGTAAAATTATAGTAAATAGTTCAATTCGAAGAGTTTTGAGGATCATTTTGTAAGTTTTGAGAGTAATTGGGCCAAAGTACAGCCTTTTTTTTTTTTTTTCCTTTTATTTAATTAACTCAAAAGCTGTTATTTACCAAAATGTCATAAAATAAAATGTGAATTTGATTTGCAATGCTTTATGTTGAGTTCATATGTCTCATACGCAAAAGTAATTTAAAATTTTTTCATATATTACATGTGAATATTTAAATAAAAATAAAATTTTAAAATAAAAGTAAAACTGTAATAAGTTATTATTATTATTCAATAATGATAAGTTTTCATGTTTTAAAATAAATATAATAAAATACGTTTTTATTATCTATAATGCGATTTCTATTTTGTTAAATAAGAATAAATTAAAGAAGTAATTTTTAAATTATAGAATAAATTTAAATTAAAAGATATCATTTTTATCTTATTAATTTGATAATATGTTAGAATTTAAATTCAAATTTAAATTGGGAATAAATTCCAGGCAAATGATTATTTACTTTTATGTGTAGGATGTTTAATTAAAAAAAAAGTACGTGACTTGTTGAGAAGAAGATAGATCTTACAAATATTTCCATTCATTCGTGAGAATTGAGAGGATGAGAATCAATGTGTGTAAAGAAAATTTTTTGAAATTGAGTTAATACTAAAATATAAGCTGAAGAAACCTAAAAAACAAAAGAAAATAAACAAGAAATAGGAATAAAGAAAATCGGATTATGGAATTGTCATGAATTTATCATGCGATTATGGAAATATTTTCTTTTTCTGTCTAAGGACGAAAGTGAGGATAGAGAGAAGGGAAAATAAGTGTGACTTTTTAAAGAAAATTATTCTCTATAGTGACATTAACAGTGCAAATAATCTCAACAATTGAAATTCACAACTTTTTTATTTAAAAAATAATAAATATTAAAATGTATGGTTATGATTAAAATTGATCTGGGCAAAAAATAAAATAAAATATCTCACTGCAAAGGATCCAGATCCACCTTCTTCGTGTGACAGGATTTGAACCATGTTTCTTATATACTATGTCTTTTTAGCTTATTACTAAGTTGTCAAGGAAGTTACCTATTAAAATATGTAAATTTGGGTTAGATTTTGTAAATTTGATTTTTGAATTCAAACTTAGGCTAACCATTGAAAAAAGAAAAACGCTTAAGCTTATCTATTTATCAAATTTAGGCCATTTTTATAAATTTGGATTAGTTTTTTTAAAAAGCTTGACTTGGTCTACAAGTCTATTTTATAATAAGATCTTTTAATTAAGTTAAAATAATTTACTTTTAAACAATTCCATGAGCTTAAACTTATTTATAAATTAGTAAACTTTAAGTCTTTAAATAAAATAAATATATAATATTACATTACTAAATTATTATTATTATTATTGGTCGGTCTATTAGATCTTTTGAATGATTTAAAATTTAAATTTTTTAAATTAAATAATCTTTTAAACTTTTTTGACTTAAACGATTTAATAAATAAGTCTAAGCTAACTTAGTTTTAATATGTTCTTTTAAGAATTCTTATGCTTTTATTTAATAATTAAAATTGGTAGGAGTACTTTATTTAATAATTAAAATTGTTATGAGGTATTTAGCGAACATGCTTGTAGAGGAATTGATTATTAAGGACCTGTTTATGGCGTTTGTTCATGAATTTTATTGTAATATAGGGAATTACTTTACTATTGAGGCTAAATTATGGAGATTACTTTATGAACTGAGATTTTTGTCTTCTTTAAACTTGATCAAGGGAGTTAATTGAAATAATTTCTCAAATAGAAAAACTACTTAAAATCTTATTCTTCATTACTCCATAATTATCAATAATATCAAGTCAATCTTGAATCGTAATAATAATTGGCAAGTGTCTCTTTATCACACACACACACACACACACATATACATGCTTACAGGGTTTATTTTTACATTTTTCTACGACCTTTGTCTCTTATTTAAAATAAAAAGAAGTTATCTATAATTTTAAAAATAATTAAAATTGTATGTAATGAATTAAAACGTATAATGAATAAAAATATTTTTTATGATTATCGTTTGATACACTTCAAAAGAAAATATGACTTAATTTTTTTCCTCGTAATTTACTTAATTAACATAGTATAAAATGAAAGATTTTAACCATGTTTTAGAAATAAAATAAAAAATTATTTAATAAAAACAAAGAAGGTAAGAGTTAAATAGTTTCCTTACAATTACCAAAAGGTCACGAGGGTATATGATTGAATAGCAAGATGATTTTGTTGAAGTGGTGAGAATGGAAGGAAGGAGGCGTGGAGGTTGGTGTGGTCGACGCATAGTAGCAAGCAAAAGAGGAAGTGGCAATGGCAATGTCAACGGCAATGGAATCAACAACAACAACAACAGTATCATCAAGAAGCTTCAATGCCGTGAGATTTGTTCCAAACCCCATCGTGCTTTCGCCTCTGCCACTGCCCCTCACAGGTTCCGCACCATGCGTTTGACCCATCAATATGACACTCATGATTCCAAGGCTCGCTCTTCCCTTTTGCCCTTTTTGATGAAAAGAACCAAAGTTGTTGAAATCGTTGCTGCCAAAAACCTCGTCTTTTCTCTTTACCATTCTGGTTTGTGTGCGGCTTTTAGTAGAGGTAGGGTTGTTCTTTGATTCATCATTGTCTTTTTCGTATACATTAAGAATCCTGTTTCTTGATTTTTATGTTTGAATTGCCATTGCCCATTTGTTAATTGTTGTGGTATTTGTGTAAAAATTGTAACTTCTGGTTGTTTTGTGTATGAATTGTCATTGCCCATTTGTTAATTTGTTGCGGTACTTCAGTAAAAATTGAAACTTTTTATTGTTTTATGTATGAATTGCCATAGCTCTTTAACCATTTGTTAATCATTGTTGCATCTGTGTTAAAACCATTACTTATTATTTTTGTTTTCATGTGTGAATTGCCCTTGCCCTTTACCCATTTGTTAATCGTTGTCATATATTTGTATGAAAACCATGACTTTTATGTGTGAATTGACTTTTCCCAGTGCCCATTCATTAGTTATTTTTGTCATATCTGTGTACAAACCGTGAAATTTGTTTGTTTTGATGAATTTTTGACACCGTTACTGCTTGTTGTTAGTTAGTCATTGTCGTATTGTGGTAGAGAAACCGTGAGATTGGACTTTTGTGTGTGAATTCCTTGCAGAAACCAATGAGAGGATTTGCTTTTTGAATGTCTGCCCCGATGAAGTTATCCGCAGCCTCTTCTACAACAAGAACAATGAATCACTTATTACAGTATCCGTTTATGCTTCTGAGAACTTCAGCTCTTTGAAATGCAGATCCACAAAGATTGAGTGCGTGCATTCTTTGGCTGTGCATTCGAATTCTCCCCTTTGATGTTTACACTTTACAACTTATGTTGCTTAATGATCTTTCATTTATCTTCCTAGATACATACGGCGGGGCAAGCCAGATGCTGGATTTCCCCTTTTTCAGTCTGAATCTTTGAAATGGCCTGGATTTGTAGAGTTTGATGATGTCAATGGAAAGGTCCTAACTTACTCTGCACAAGATAGGTACCTTCCTCATTCTCTTATCTTCCTATTGCACTTCTACTGTTATGCACTGTCTGTTGGTTATTCTATCTAACACACTTTCATCCTATGGTGTCAGTATCTACAAGGTCTTTGATCTTAAAAACTACACAATGCTATACTCGATTTCAGATAGGCATGTTCAAGAAATCAAGATCAGGTACTTTCTGTTTATTTTTGGTTGACTTTCTGATTCATAGTTCAAGTGCCAGCAAAATCCCCCGTGTAATAAATAAATTCTGTTAGGTGAAATCACGAGCATGATCATCTTGTGGGTGCTTTGATCTTGTTTGTTTTTACTCCTTGCTACGGAGTTACGGTTCTATTATTCACTTGTGGAAAATTTTTGGGTCCTTAGTTTTAAACTGATGGTTGGGGTGGCCAAAAATTAGTAATAAGATTTATGGATTCACTTCCAATTGAAATGCTTGGGGTCATTTCGCTTTCTGGTCTGTCATCAAGCTCTACCTTTGGATATATTTTGCATCACTCCACCCACACATGTTTCTTACATTAAAGTTGAAATTCTTAATGAATTTGAGGCACTGGATAAGTTGGTTTTGATGGGTTTCCTAGTAGTGAATGTGAGAGAGGTTTATTTGCTCAATGATTTCGAGGTGGTTTTGTTGAGAAAATCAGTTGGAGACAAAAGACCAAAGTGAAAGTCACTAACTATTAAGGATGGGGATGAACAGGCATTCAGAATCACAATTGGGAAGCTTTGTCTGAGATAATGGAGCTTTTGGTGAGGAACCCTGTTAAAGGATTTGTATAATGAGGATAATTTGTGTTGGCCTTTACTTGGGAATTTAGATTGGTGTGCTGTCTCTTAGGAAAAGGCTTCTTTGCTTCCTGGACCGTTTGGAGAAGAGGAATAATAAGGGCTGTTTAGAGTATGAATACAGAGATAAGGCTCTGGTACATGATGGTCCTACTGTTGGTTATTTTTTCTGGGTTTGGGGGCATCATTAAATTTTGTCTTTTATTGGTAATTGCTGAGTACCATAGCAGTGGAAAAGCTGGGATTAGTATCGACTTGTATTTTTTTGGTCCCTAAGAAAGATATCTATTGTAAAAAGGTTACATTACCATCGGTCTTTTCTCAGGTTTGTATAAAACATATCCATCGTATTGACTATCCATGTGAATGGGGTGTTGGAGGATGCTATTTTTGAGAATCAGAGTGCTTTTGTTGCAGGTAGACTGATATTATGTGCTCTGCTTTTGGGTAGGATTATTACCCAAAGGAACTCCCAAGCAAACAAGAGGCCGCTACAAACATCTAACAGCTTCCCAGAGCTTCAATGGAAGAGAGAGGGAGAGAAAGACCATTCATTATACCATCCACATCATTTTGGTGCCATCAGCAAACTGCAAATGAGAGACTACCATCCCTTCTAAGCCAACTATGGCTCCTTTAATGGATCTGCTCACAATTGCTCCAGAAATAAGATGACCAAGTACATCCACCACCAAAGTGGACTAAGGAGATAAAGGATCTCCTTGCCTTACACCCCTTTGATTGCAAAACAAACCTTTTGGCTTTCCATTTACAATTACAAAAAAGGGACTAGATGAGAGAAGTTCAGAGATCAAACTTATCCATCTGAAGACAAACCCTTTTTTTCTCTATATCTTTATCCATAAAAACCTGAACTGACCCAATGATAAGGTTTCTCAAAGTCTAATTTTCCAATTTAAGTACCGAACCTCTTTTGACCTTCTCCTCAAATCATCAGTTAATGCTTCATTTCCCCAATACAGTGGGTTTCTATAGTGAAAGAATAGAATCTCTAGTCTCCTCACATGATTTCCGTGTCCCATATCCTCTAGATTGCCACCTCGTCTTCAATGGTTACTCCCATTAACTTCATCCCTGCCTTTCAGTTGATGCAGAGTGGCTATATCCCTTCATGCATGGACATGACTTGCATACATTTCCTTCAACCTCCTCCTGCCAGTTGTTCTGTCAGTTTGGATTTCCCTCTCTCTTCCAAGTGCAAACCGATTTCTCCACTTCTTTTACACCATGCTTTCATTATATTTCCATCCTTGACCCTTTTTCTGTTCTCCACTATTTGGCCCGTCTTTCTGTTTCTTTCATTTCTTTCTATACATGTGGGTTAATTTGCTCATCAATAGCCTAGTGGGAGTTGCTAACAATATAAAAGATTTGGAGGGATATATCTCACATTGTTATACTGTCTTTAAGTCTGCTTTCATTGAAGGTAGATGGCAGTTCTCATGTTGACATTTTGGGAGGACCATTGGATAGGAGGTTCCACTTTTAGTTTGGGTTTCCCACAATTTATCTTATATCATCCTTACACAACACTCCTATTCATAATTTTAGTGTTCAAGACTCCACTCCTTTATGGCTGTTAAGAAACTTGGGCCTAACTCACTCCCAAAAGCTAACTCGTAAGAGGAGGACTATCCTAGCCCTTATAAGAAGTATTTTGACTTTATTCTTAACTAATGTGAGACATCTTAACACATCCTTCTCACCCCAAGGAGTAGACATCTAGTGTGAAATTTGCAGGATTGGACATCTACATGGGTAGACCCAACAGGATTGGACATCTATGGATAGCCTAACGTTTAAACTGAATAGGCTCTGATACCACGTTAAGAAACTTGGGCCTAACTCACTCCTAAAAATTAGCTTGTAGGAGGAGGACTACCCTAACCCTTATAAGAAATATTCTAACTTTATTCCTAACCAATGTGAGACATCTTAACAATGGCATTTTCATTTTGTTCTGAATTTGAGACAATCTTGGGTCTCCTTGTCATGTAGTCTATATAAAGGATTTGGTCTCTTGATCTTTTCTGGTTATTTTTGCAAAAATAAAAATAAAAAATTCTCAATTCCAAATTCATTGAATGTGGTATTGTCTTGGCAAACTTATTTGTAGGTCCAAAACTTCCTCTAAGGTTAAGTCTTATATTTGGACAGCAGTACTTAATAGAATTAATACCAATGACATGCTGCAGGTTTGTAGGCTGCACAAAGCTATTTCTCCTAACGTATTATCTGTGGTGCTAGCTTAGAATCATTTATAGCTATTTCTTTGTGAAATTCTTTGTTTGGCATTTTTGGAGCATGTTAGGTGTTCCCTGAACCAGTTTTTCATCACCCTGCTTTACTGGTTTTGGTAGATTTTTGTAGCAACACATAATCTATGCTAACACTTTGGTGCATTTGGTTAGAATGTAATTCTCTCATCTTCAAGTAGATCTACTTGATGTCAACCACATGGTTTATTTAAAGGAATTTCTTTCTCCTCTCTTGGTTGTTTTTTCTTTTTATAAGTAGGATCTTTTCTCTTCTATTGTAATGAATGTCATCTTTTGTTACTTGATATCTTCATACATATTACTTGATCTTTGTTACAGCCCTGGCATCATGTTATTAATTTTCAATAGAACCAGTGGTCATATTCCCCTTAAGATTTTATCCATTGAAGATGGCTCAGTTCTCAAAACATTCAACCATTTACTTCATCGGAATAAGAAGGTGGACTTCATTGAGCAATTTAATGAAAAGCTCTTAGTCAAGCAGGAGAATGAGAACCTTCAGATTCTTGATGTAAGCTTCATATATGTGTGTATTTGCATAATTTCTTTTGTTTTTTCTTTTAAAATTATTTTCATTGTTTGTGCAATTCCTTTTATCCATAGGTTCGAAATGCCGAGCTGATGGAGGTGAGCAGAACCGAGTTCATGACTCCATCAGCATTTATCTTTCTGTATGAGAATCAGTTGTTCCTTACATTCAGAAATCGAACAGTTGCTGTTTGGAACTTTCGTGGGGAGCTTGTTACTTCATTTGAGGATCACCAGTTATGGCATCCTGATTGCAATACAAATAACATATACATAACAAGTGATCAGGATCTTATCATCTCTTACTGCAAGGCTGATTCTGATGATCAATGGATGGAAGGCAATGGTAATTGTGTTTGATCTTAGTTGTTTTCTCATTTCTGAATGAAGTAATCGTATATCATTTTATTTTTCTTCTTGAAGCAGCTGGCTCCATTAATGTCAGCAATATCTTGACTGGGAAATGTATGGCTAAAATTAACGCAACAAATAGCAGCACCAAGGCAGACAAGTGCAGTGGTCGTGGTTGCAGCTGCAAGCAAAGTCATTCATCCCACATGAGTACAGTCGCGGAGGCTTTGGAGGACATAACTGCCCTCTTTTATGATGAAGATAGAAATGAGATATATACTGGTAACAGACATGGTTTTGTTCATGTATGGTCTAACTGATGGCAAAAATGTCTGTTTCTTCCGTTCCATTGGCCAAGAAACCGTGTTTGGATTTGTGCTTTTGCTGTTGGGATTATTTCAGCATTGGATGTTTCCAAAATCTGGATTGCCTCAGGATTGTAACATTAGTTGATATGAAACTATGATCTAGCACTCTGCAGTTGTGTATTTCATAGTTTATGCAGAGATAACCTGTTGGTGAGTTAACCAGGAGTTCAAGAAAAATTGATATGTATGCTTTTTGTTAGTTTGAGTTTTAGGTCTTTTTAGAGGTTTGGCCTTAATAGTTGTGTATAGTGCAGTCATTACTGATGATTTTGAGGCAGATGAAACATAGTGCTTGTATTATTAGTTTATCCTTAATTCCTAGGGGACAATGTGGGATGGAGCCAAAAAGGGCACTGTGTGGGATTTTATACCTTATGTGTATCATTGGTGTAAATCTCACTATAAATCTGCTATTCTAGTTTTTTGTCCCTTTTTTTTTTAAGAATTGAGTATGAATATAGCCCTATGAGTTGTAGATATGATCTTGTGTATTTGTGTGGTAGTGTTCATTGTTACGCTGCTACTTTTTTCTTTTTAATATTTTTCTTGAAACTGAGAAAATTAAAAAACTGAAGCATGTGAGGTTTTGAACATGGGAAGTTTCTCCTCTATTTCCTGTGTTTTGCTTCTCCTGAATCCCTTTTTTTAAAATAATTGGGATGACTTGGAAATCCTTGATATGAAAAAGGCTGAAAGCATTCAACCAATAAAAATTGTTGATATGAAAAGTAGCTACAAGTTTTTTTGGTTCAATGTGGAAGTATCAACCTGTCCCATTTTATCTATAATAACCCAGCAAGAAAGAATATTCCAATAATTAGCAATTTGGATAAACTTCTAACTTGAAAATGAAAATAAGAAAGAAAAATAAGGCAACTTGTAACAACGTTTTGAGAAGTTTCTTTTATCTATATTTTGTTTAAAAGTTTGTGTAGAAGTTGATTTTAACTATTGGAAGAAATTTGTTTCATTTTACCTCTTTATTTTCATCGCTTGTAATTGCTTCTGGAGAATTTATCCAAATTAGTCTAAATACTAGCAAAATAGAATTGCAACAAACTTGTGAGTTTAGAAAAAATTATCTACAGAAAATTACCAAATGAAACGAATAAAGCAATGCAACACCTGATTCAAGTTTTCTACCTTTCAACAAACTCACATGCAAAACCAAATTAGAATAATGTAATGTGTGAGAAAAAGAAGGATGAGAAGAAGCTACGTTTTAAACACTCGCGTGCTTTTCTTTTGGTTTTCCATGTAATTTTTTAATGAGGTATAGAATTTAATTGACTGTATTTAAGAATTAAGTATATATTCACCTAAAAATTACTCATTAGCATGTTTTTCTTATTTTATTTTAGTTTTTACGTAATGGAACATTGAATATTTTACTGCAACCTTTTAAATTTCTTAAGCCGTGCAATCATGTTTTGGCACGTGTTATAGTGAGGTCAAAAACTAATTTATTCATTGAACCGTTGGAAAGATTAAATTAAAATTCAACTGTCTGCAAATTTAATGGTTATAAATGTTAAATATTTAAATAATGTTTATTAAAAATATAACCATGTCTAGTAAGTATCAATGAGGATTGAGTCTTGTTTAAGATATTACACTTGAAACCTAAAAATACTCTCGTTTAAGAATCATGACTCATAAATTATGAATAAAGTAGATAAATTGAATTTGCTCAAGTGATAGAATGTTTTATTTCTTTGAAATTTACAAATTAATTCAAATATTTATTATTTAATGACTGAATAAAAGGGTAATTGTTTGAAAATTTTTATTGAAACTTCTGAATCAAGACTATATACTAAAAATGTCAAGAGTTAAAAATGTCAACAGTAACTAGAATCAATCTTTTTTTTTATTCCATACAAAAATAAGTGTTGAGCTATCTATGTATGATAAGAATCTTGTGGCAGTTTTCAATATTTATGCTAAAATAAGGAGCATAATTAACCAACAAGTAGCGTTGGAATACTGATTGGACTATGACTAATGCTCTGTATTAGATTCCTTCCTTCCACCACCACTAGGCTTTTGACAAAAAGAACAAATTTCTTTGCTTCATAAAATTGTCTCAAAGTCAAATTTGAGCCTTCAAAATCTTATACAAATGGCTGTAACACAAGGTTTTGAGTTCAGTCAAATTGGAGGTCAATATACATCCCATGGTCTGATCAGTTTATTGCTTCTGAAAAATCCGGTTTTACAAATCCAACCACCCTAGGCTAGCCATTCCATTTGCTTGACCTACCAAACCGGTTCTTAGCTATGTTTTTCCTTTTCAGTTTTTCTTCTGAGGAAATTATTCTAATAAATGGCTACACAAAGAAATCTATTTCTTGATTAAACAAAAATGGAGCATTGATCAAATTCTATTCTTTGTTATAACCATAAAATTCTCAGTTAACGAAAGAGAATTTTGATTGATCAATAGACTAAAATGAATGGTTCATTTTTTCACCAAGACGATTAATTCATTTGGTCAACTCTTGAAAAAACTTTCACATGCTTTTTGTTATATTATAGTGATGTAAATTTTTGGAACAGTCCTGGGACAAAAGAGAGGAAAGAAAATAGAACAATCCATTATTATTCATTAATTGGCCTGAACAATTATAACGCTTTTTCTTTGTCTCTCTCTTCCCATCACTTCATTCATCTTATCACCCGTATAACCTGATTCAGAGAGACATCAGGTTAAAAATGGCATTAATAAGCCAGTAACGCTACTCCAGAGAAGCATCACACTTAACATGCAGGATTTAGAGAAAACATCTTGACAAGACCGATCAAACACAAGCACAATCAAAGAAAGTTGGAACAAAAGAAACTGCAGTCAAAATGGCATTAATTAATTATACTGTTCTGTCTAATGCAGACTGAAATTAAAACTCACAAGAACAAAACCCACCTCATGTGGAAAATTTGTAATTATTTTAAGGCTGCAATCTACAGCCTTCCCTGTATGTTTGCAAATTATAATAATTCATCTTTCGGTTCCTTAGTTATTAACTACTTCTATAAGACTTGGCTCATAGTCACTGGGAGCCTCAAATCCATGAAGATTTATCACAGTTGCAGCAACATTGGCCAGCCCACCGGTGGGAAGATCTGTACGGAATCTGATGCCAGGGGGCAATCCAGGACCTCCAATGGCAATCGGTACCTTAAACCAGCAGAGAAAGAAGAACGAGATTTAGAACCAAAATTAAGGTTGTTGTCTATAATGATTATGCAAGTGTATGGTGAGAGAAGCCAGTATCTTAATGCTTTAAACGAACTGATTGGAAAAGGGTCATTTTGATTAGCCTTAGACATGTATTCAAATTAACAACAAATAATATAATTGATTTTTTGGAGATCCCACAAGTCATCCATAACTAAATGAAAGTGGAGAATGTTGTGATTCATGTGAAATTCTCATCAATGAATGTCAATAGTTTGAAAAACTTACAGGCTCAAGAGTATGGGAAGTAAGAATTTGGACTTTTCCATCCTTGCCTACAATAGGTTTTCCAGATTTATCTCTCTTGACCATATCCTCTGCATTTCCATGGTCAGCTGTGACAACATAAATTCCACCCACTTGCTCTATTGCATCAAGAATCATCTGCAAGTACATGTGTAAATATACATTAATCAATACAATGAGCAGCTATTTAGCCTTCATTCTCTTGTTTGTTAGAGTATATAACTTTTTGTTGCAGTAATTTCTTAATTGGCAATAACACAATGTTTAAGGATATGACCAGCCACCAGAAGATATTTGCTCTTTCCCGTACTAAGGAAGACAATGATTGCAAAAATATTATAGAAATGCCATGGTGAACGTTTCCAACATGAAAAGGAAGAAAAACTTAATCTTTAGTGTCCAAGGGGCAACTAGTGTGGGGTACACCAAAGGAACTTGGCTCCTCTTTTAGTTCTTCACATTACCTAGTCCTTTTAACAAAGTGATAGACACAATACTACTCACATGACTTCATGTCTTGAGCTTAACTGTTAATAGAGACTAAATAAAAGATTCACTTCTCTCATTTCTCATGTAAGATTAGTTTTCTCACTAGAATCACACACTAAACAAACACAACACATGTATGTCTTCAAAGTTAAACTTTTCAACATTTTATCACTTACTAATCACCTAGGTAATGCTTTTACTTCTGAAACAAATCTAAAAGTGATCTAAGGAATTCTCAAATTTTCAAAAGGTTTTAAAAGAATATAACAAGGTTTATTTACAGAAATGATCCAACAATTTTGGAAATTACCTTCACAGCATCATCAGCTACCTTGCAAGCCACAACTGTTGCTTCAATGTCACCTGTATGCCCCACCATGTCACCATTTGGAAGGTTGACACGTACCTAAACAACAGACAAAAATAAGAGTAAGTAGAAGTTCAATTAGACCATAATTCCTAAAATCACCTGATAAATCATTAATTACCTGATCAAATTTCCGGCTAAGAATAGCATCCCTTGCCTTTTCAGCAATTTGCAATGCTTTCATTTTTGGTTTTACATTGAACGAAATCCCAGAGTCACTAGGAATTTCCACATATTCCTCCAATTGTGAATTAAAATACCCAGAGCGGTTTCCATTCCAGAAGAATGTGACATGACCAAATTTAACAGTCTCACTGTTGACAAAGAAATTCATACAAGTGTCAATAAAGGCTATACTTTAATGACATAAAGTACTAGATAATGAAGATCACTTAAGATAAGCATTATGTCACAAAGGCAGTTTCATAAAAGAAAGATGGACTTCAACCTCCTATTTCTCCCCACACAAAGCTGTAATTATATTAATTATTAACCCCAGTTGGAAGGACTCAAACAAGAAACATTTGTTCATCAGGTTTGGTCAACAATATAAGCATAGGATATTCTCATGTACATAGTTCCAAACATTCACCGTCAAAAATAGAATATGCAGTTAGAAAGATTAAGGAATTGCATAAATTACAACATAATCCTACTATAGATTTAAAAAAGAGACAATTTACCTGCAAGCAAAAGTCCGCACACCATTATGAACCAAATATTCACCAGAAGTCCGATCAATCTCTGGTGGAGAAACAAGGTAATGACTTGGAAGCTTCAATTCACCATCATATTCAAGCATTCCAGCATAGCGGATTTTTGGGTAACGAACTCTATCGAATTTGTCAAATTTTTCATATTCAAGAGCCTTAGCAATCATAACCATACGATCAGCTCGGAAGTTGAATGTAACAACAGCATCACCATCAACTATTGGACCAACAGGTTTCCCATTCTCATCAACAATAACGAAAGGAGGTAGATACTGGTCATTGGCCTTTGGTTCTGCCCTCAGCTTCTTGATAGCTTCAACAGCATTTGTAAACTTATGTGGGGCTTCACCAAGAACTTGAGCATCCCATCCTCGTTTAACAACATTCCAGTCATTCTGCAGTTTGTTTTCAAAAACAGAAAAAGTCATAATAACAGAAATACACAAAAAATATTTCAAGCCAACCATATTTATTTGATGTATATAACATTATGAATTTAAAAATACAAAGTTAACCATAAAAAAAACTTTATAAACTAATATGCTCTAAAATAATTAAACAAATCAATAAAAGACTTAACAGCATTTTATATTGTTTTTCGATCAAACTCCAAAGGTAATATGGCATTACAACAATGAACCTCAATAGACAGAATAAAAAATTGGTTGGTGTATAATAGACTATAGTTGCACAAAAGTCAGTGACACAGATCAAAGTTCAACGATGCAGGTTAGGTACCAGCATAAGATGATAAAAATACCAAGGCTAAATTTAAAGGGACACAGCAGAATGGACACCGCCATATCCAATGAATACTATGATTGACCAAAACATGGAATTTTGAGAGAAGTTAGATGCAGACAACAGCTCACAAATGCAATCAAGAACCATAAAGTGAAATAACTACCTTTAAATATATAAATACTATAACTACTGTTAATCAACCTATACCATTTTTGAATAAATTAAAGTTGTCTTATATACAAATAACAGTTCTTCTATAGGAGGGGGAGACTCGGGTAGAGCCTAGTCTATCAACTTTACAACTAAAATGCATTTAGCAGTAAAGAAATGAACTACGCAAATTGAAGGTCATTTCCAGGTCATTCATACCTCATAACGATCCATTGTGACATACATGCGACCTCCACCTGATGCTATCTTTGCATCAATACCTTTCTCACGCAATTTTGCAAGATCATTTTCAAGGGTTTCTGCAAATCCGACACTTGAGCCATCCAAAACATCACGGCCATCTGTAAGAATATGGATGCGGACTCTCTTAACACCTCGCTCACCAACTCCTTTAAGCAACAACTGTACAAAAATAGTTAGCTAGAAGGAATACATTTCATAGACATGAAGGAAACGAAGTTCAAACCCCAAGTAATCACCTGCAACTGATCAAGTCTGGAGTGAACTCCACCATCACTCAGTAATCCAATGAGATGCAATGTGCCGGTTTCAAAACTTTGCTTTATGTACTTGAAACCTTCTCCTTCAAAAATTTTGCCAGAGGCTAGCGCAAGGTCAACAAGCTTAGCACTACAATGTACAATGACAGATCAAGATATCCCAATCGTCAATCAAATGCCAGAAACATTGTTAAAACAAGAAAAAGAAAAAGACCAACTAGCCTAGAATGCAAAGGCCATAATTAAACATTTCAAGATGCTAGGCATGAATGATAAATCTTAATTCCAGCAAAGAAATTAATTTAAATTATAATACAAAGCATTGTCCACCCAAAATTCCTCAGGAAAAGTGACACACAACACAACAAGAGAAGGCCACAGTGGTGTTGTGAATCATTGTGTTGCATCCTACAACTAACCTAGGTAAAAGAATGGAGCACAACACACATTTACCTATTGATAATAGGATAATTCAAGAAAAAAAAAAGAAAAAAGAACAAGCCGTTTTACAGCTCAATCCACAACATAAAAGAATGACAGGCAGAGCAAATCCAAATGTTTACAAGAAACAAGATCAGATAGCATCTATAACTATGGTAAATCTCACAAAACATCAAGAACAACCTTTTACGAAAACACCCATAAATCTTAATTTCATTTTATTTTTCCAGACACCAATTAGTTTAAAAATAACAAGCAGAACATGATCACTATTATTATCAACTAGCAGTGGTAGTAACATATAAACAAGGGCAGAATAGATGAAAATAAGAAGCGAATTTCAGTTTACCCCTGAGCAAATATGCGACCAGCACCAAGTGCATTATGACCAACTTCACTATTGCCCATGTCATCATCTGTTGGAAGTCCTACAGCAGTACCATGAGCCTTGACCAATCTCCACCGTTCAGGGGCACCCTAAAACAAACAAGAATCCAGATTCATTTCATTTTTTAAAAAAACCAAAACAGTAACAATGGATCTATGATATCTAAAAACATTGATTAGATCCAAAAAATGGAACCTTTTTAAGGGAATCCATGCATGGTGTTTCAGCGACGTGGATGCAATTGTACTCATTGGCGGTGGCCTCTCCCCAACCATCCAAAACCACCATAGCCACAGTCTTACCCTTTGGAAGCTTGGGATGATCCGCCAATTTCCATGAAAATCCAGAGCTACCCATCTGCGATTTTTATTTTTTTTTATTTTTCTGTCAGATTCAGATTCAATAGCAAAACCAAATACCCAAAATTAAGATACGCTACTAATCATCCATACTCTGACATAAACATCACATAAGAAAATACTAAACATTTTTAGACAGGTTCATGTACAGTACTAATTACCTTTCTACCTGTGTGTCTGAGCCGCAACCAACAACACAAATGTTCCAAAGGTAACCTAATGAAACCAAACCTCTCTGCCTTTGTCCTGTTTTATGCACTTGTGGGGTGTCTGATATATAAATACTATTTTTATTTTACTGTGCTTTTTTAAAAAATAAATAAATAAAGTGGGAGCAGTGCCCACGGGAATGCTGAGATTAGTCACGGAAAGAGAGAAAAATTAGGAATTTTTAAATCAGAAGTGTTATACGAATTGAATTCAATATCTTTATTTAGGGAAAACAATTGATCTTAATTTTTCAATATTCTATGAATAGGTATTACGATTTTTTTTTTCATTTCATTTTAATTCGTAATTAAATTCTTATCATTATTGAAGATATCTAGATATGTTTATAGTAATTTAACCAAAATTAACGGAAGAATCTATTATATAATATTGATAATGATAAAAATTGAAAAATAATTAAAATAAGAGTTTAATTTTGATGCAATATTAATATATAACAATAGTAATTTTTATACTATCAACTAATCAGAATAAATCATAAATGTAATATTTAAATAAAATTCTTAAATAAATTACCATAAAGTCGTTACTTTTTATTAATATAAAAATTTATAATTAGATGATAATGTAAGTTAATTTCACTTTTAATGAATTTCAATGAAATTCTTAAAAACTAAAAAATAAGTATTTATTGGCAAAAGACACAAATTTTTTTTAAACTATTATATATGCTTTCTCCTATTTATTATATACTCTACAGTATTAAATAATAGTTTGTCTTCTTACCGTGGCTGTTTTTAATTTTTAATTGAAATATTACAAATAAGTATATTAATTTTATATTACTTATGATTTATATTTTTTTATGTGTTTTAAAATATCATAGTAAATATTTAAAAACGTTAACGTCTCTAAAGTAAATAAATACATATAAAATAAGAATATATTATCATTAATTTAAAATCAATAACAAATGCACCCTTGTTTTTTCATTTCACACATACTTATTTTTAGGGGTTAGGTGGCTACAGTACAGCATTTAAAACTAGAAGATGGACGCACCAGGCATTACTGCCATCGATTATTTACCTTTTACGTTTAATAAATTAAATACTACTAATTTAACGGTTGAGATGAAAAGTTCCTCTATACGCCTTTTTTACGGTGTAGCGAATATCTGCTAACGTGTTTGGAATATTCGTTATATAAGCTGAAGCACGACACAAGGAAGCTATTTTCTATTCAGAACTAGCGGTTTCTACTACTTTATGCTGCCGTGGCCAAACAAAGTGCATCATTCTCCACGCCTCTCTTCTCTAATTTCTAAAACAAAGACTCAAAATAATAATAAAAAAAGGACCAATATATGTATATATAATACTATTAATAACAAGTAGGGTAATGCTGTGACACCCACCCAAGTATAATATAACAATGATAATAATAGAAGCTAATATTAAAAATTTTATGTAAATTTAAAACATGAAAAAGTTATTAATACTCATTAAAATTAGAATATTAAATAGTAAATGAATACATAGCTTATAATTGCTTTGATTTCTACCAGCAGAAGTGTCAAATCAATTTTTATCTTATATTAAAACCATGACTAAATGATGACTGTGGAGTGTGCAAGAAGAATGTTGTTTCCTATAGAGATGATAATTTAATTGAGTGAGTGTTAATATATGAACTAATTGTAATTATTACAAATTTTGTATTTGAGTTTTCTTGAATACGTAATAAAGCAATTTGGTTACTTTAGATTTAGATTCTTTTTTCCTTGATCTGTAGTGTAATATATTTAATGATATTTAGTTCTTCCATCGTCTTACCTGTGTACACAATAATTTGTAAACTAAGTCAAACCAAATACCATTGAATATATCAAATATGAGAAATTATGATGTCGTGCAAGGACTTGTATTAGAAATAACATGATAAAATAACACATTACATCTAATTTATTATTTTTTATGCATTAAACATAAAATAAAAATTTATCTTTCTCTTATCATATTTTATTCAACTTCAACTCTCATATATATATCATTTCTCATCCTATTATGTCTAAAATTTGGATTTTTTATAAAAATAAAATAAAATAAATTTCATATTACATATATATCTTAAAACTAATTTATTTACATAAATGTCCTATTTTTTATATAATAAAAATAAATTAAAATCTACTTCGGTATAAAATATTTTAATTACACTTATGTTAGATTATGTAATATTTTACTTATAAAATAAAATTTATTTGTAATTAACTTTTGTAAAAAAGAAATTAAATATAAAAAAATTGATTAAATTTGATTTATTTATAAAGAAGTCAATTATAATTAATTTTTATGTAAAAAAAATTGTTTATTAAAGAAATTTAATTATAAGAAATTTTTAAATAAAAAATATCACTAAACAATAAAGATAAATAAATAGTTTATTATATTCTCCCTCTCTTTTACTTTAAATTGTTTTCCTTCTCACACTCTTAAAACTAAATAACTCACAGACAATCCTAAAAAGAAAAATAATAAAGACTCATTTTAATGCAATTCACTGAGATATTTTGTGAATAGTTTTTTTTCATATAAATTTGATTATAATTAACTTTTATTTTACAAATAAAATAATTTTAATTGATTTTTTATACGATCTAACATAATTGCAACTGAAATATTTTGTATTAAAATAATTTTAATTAATTTTTATTATATAAAAATAGGATATTTATATAAAAAAAATTAGCTTTAGGATATATACGTAATATGTAATTTATTTTATTTTATTTTATTTTTATAAAAAATTTAAAATTGATAAAATGGATTGACTAAATGAAGAAACCCAAATATACTTATAAAATTATATTCTAATTAGGTTCATGTCACGTATACATGTATAAAATCTTTTACCTAAATGCTTTTTTTTAACTCATAATTAATCACGTTATTAAATAAGCTTTATACAACTTTTCTAAACACCAAATTGATTAATAAACTCAACATAAATATATCAAATTTTAATACCACTCAAAAACACACACACAAATATATATATATATATATATATATATATATATATATATATATATAAAGTTAGGTCAAGCTTGTGAGTGTGAGAAAGAAAAGCTAAAAAAAATGTGCTGATACTACTTAGAAGGTCACTTCTAACATACAATGTAGTCATTGAGAGGTAAGAAAATTAAGATTTTGTTATAATTACAGATGCTATCCTTAAAGTAAAATTAGACAAGTGTAGATAACATATTATCTTATTCTTAAAGAAAGGAGACATACATGTGATTAAATGATTAGATATTAATCTAGATTGTGGTCCAAAACAGAATTAGCTTCTACATGCATGTTGTGTTGGACAGAGTGGTGGGTGCATAATATACTTTATTACTATGCTGATAGACTTTTTGTGACCCTGTTAAGATGTTGGATTGTTTAAAGCCGGTGTGTCTAATGTACATCGTATGATGTTAGGTTAGATTTATCAAATATATACTTATTAATATTTAATATGTGCATTTGTGTTCCTTACCAAATACTTTGTGAGCATTCATAGTGTTATACATATACTTGTTTGGTGGCTCAAATTTATTTACTTTCTATCAAAATGAACTTAAGAATCATTCAAAGATTTGCACATGCAAATTATTGAAATAAGAAATAAAACATACTTCATCATTGATTTCTAGCAGCAAAGGTATCAATTGAAATTTTATTACACATTAAACATGACTAAATAACTTACTATCGAGGATAAAATTCACTTATAGACATTTCATTAACAGAGAGTGGTATGGAGTTATTGGCAGATTGACTAGAACATGATTCATGTGTAACTATTTTTGAATCCATTTTATTGTGCAAGATAAATGCTGGCTCTTGTGGAGATGGTAATTCAATTGAGTGACTGCTGAGATATGAAACAATTGCCAATATTGTTGGTCTAGCATCTGGATTTTCTTGAACACATAGTAAACCTATCTGAATGCACTTAATGGCTTCAAATTTAGAATAATTTTCTCTCAATTTTGGGTCTACTATGTTCAATGGTGTTTGTTTCCTCCACTCTCTCCAAACCTGCAAACATTTATATAACAATTTGTAACTTGGTCAAATCATTACATTTGCTTACTTTTAAATTATTTTTATTGTAAACTAAACATAAGTAATATGAAATAAACAAGAATATTGTAAGGTATCATTGAACTTACAAAACTTAGGAGACCATCAGCAATACGGGATGAATCATAAGAAGCTATATTCTTTTTTCCAGTAATTATTTCTAGAATCATAACTCCAAAACTAAAAACATCTGATTTCTCAGAAAATTGGCCAAGCATTGCATATTCTGGAGACATGTAGCCACTACAAAATTCATAGAAATATATAACATTAGCAAATATGTGCAAACTTACCACTTTAAAGATAATAGAAAGTAAATAATGGGCATTCAAAACTTACTATGTTCCAACAATTCTGTTTGTACTTCCTTCGTGTTGATCTATTTCAACAATTCTAGCAAGACCAAAATCTGAAATTTTTGGATTCATATTTTCATCTAATAATATATTACTAGGTTTAAGATCACGGTGTATAACTTTAAGTCGAGAATATTCATGTAAATAAAGAATTCCTCGAGCAATTCCTCCTATAATTTTGTAACGCTCATTCCAACTTAACAAATTTTGTTGTTGAGTATCTACAAAAAAAAATTGAGTTTATGAGTAAACTTAGTGAAGCTTATTTTGTAAATCACCTAAAGTAATTGAGATATAATATTTGAAAATCATAAGCACATAATTAAACATTAAATAATTAAGGAGAGGTTAAAGTATCGAACCAAATAAAATGTAATCGAGACTTTTATTTGTCACGTATTCGTAGATAAGTATTTTCTCTTGTTCTTCAAGGCAAAATCCTATGAAAGCCACTAAATTTCTATGTTGAAGTTTGGCTATTAAAAGAATCTCATTTTTGAACTCCTCTGCACCTTGCTTTGAAGATTTTGAGAGTCTCTTTACAGCTATATGTCTTCCATCATCAAGAATACCCTAAAAAATATAAATAATTATTCATGAGAAAATAAAAACATAAAAAATAAAATTTATTGGATTTTTTTTACCTTATAAACTTCTCCAAATCCTCCTTTGCCAATCTTATTCTCAAGTGAAAAGTTATTTGTTGCTGCTTCAATTGTAGTCAAATCGAATTGCAATGGCTCCAAAACGGTGCTTTCATGTCCAACTAGACGAGAATACTTCAATTGTTAAAGCATGTTGGGGTGATCTTCTCTGAACTTACTAATTAAAAAGTATGCACAAAATTAAAAATTATTTTCTTCTTTTCACAATACTTACAGTTTTCTTTGAGAACGGTTTTATAATTCTTTCTTCCTTTTCTTCGTTTCAAGTAGTAGCCAGAAGAAAAAAGTATAGCCGAAACAATGGTAGAAACAGTAATCCAGATAATTGTTCGCGACCGAACTACTCTTTTTTCTGCATAAGAAAATGTATATCATGTCACTGAAATAGGCTATGATGAACATGAGGAGGAATTTACTTGGTTCTTATATATTAGTTATGGACTTGTAATGGTTCTTCTTGAATTATTACTTTTTTTTTAGTTTAAAAAATTGTTAATAATAACCTTTTATAATTGAGTTTAAGTACTTAAAATAATAACTTTAAATAGAAAAAGAATAGATTTATTTTATTAAAAATATAGAAGTGAAATAAATTTTTTTAATAAAATTTTATTATTATTAAATACTTAACTTAAGCTTTAAAAATTGATATTATCATTTTCTTTTTAAAAAAAATTATTAACCCTAGTCTTTAAAGTGATTTTTAGTATCCAAAAGTAATATTTTTTTTTTAATAAAAAGCATGTTTATTATGTTAAAGATATAATTATTTGATATAATTTTAATAAAAATCATCAACATTATAATATTAAAAATATTGCAAGAGTGAGAGACGTCAATATCCCATATAAAAAATATACTAAATTGGTTCCTAAAATTTTAAATATAAGACAATTTAATCTATAAAGTTATAAAAGCTTCATTTTTATTATATAAAATTATGGAATAGTTTTTACAATTATAATTTCAAAGATCAAATACCATCGTAATTGTCGTGTGATGATTTTAATCATTACATAAATTAAATTTTTTATTTTTTTAAAGAATAAATTAATATATTATTTTTAAAAAGTACATATATTAAGTGTGAGTTTAAATAAACAGTTAATTAAATAATTTTTAATAAATTTTTTATTTAATAATTTAAATAATAAATTTGATTATAAAATTTATTATTAAAAAAAAAAAAAAAACACACACACACACACACACATATATATATATATATATATATATATATATATATATATATATATATTGAGTGTGAGCTTAGATAAATAGTTTGATTAAAATAATTATTCAATAATTTTTTTTAATTTAAGAACTTATTAGAAGAAATATATATATATTTTTTATATATTCAATAATTATAAGTTTAATAAATAGCTATTTCAAACAAACCTTGTATGTCACTAAATAATATATTTTCTTTCTCCAAAATTACTTAAGAATATCACATTATTTTATGGACAGGTAATAAGTGCATCACTCAATCCAGTGATGCTAAATATGTTACATATACTATAAGTAATACGAATCAAATAATAAAAGTTACAAAACGGTTAATAAAAGTTACAGATATTCGTAAAATGAATAATCATTTACTATTATATATTCACTATCCAACCTTATTACTTATTTTGTAAATTCTATAACTATTATTTATAAAAAATACACATTTTAATAATAAAAATAAAAGAGTAATATATACAGAGTGAAAATATTATATTATATACACACCTGTTTGTTGCTGAGTTGGCGCGTGCGTGGGGAAGTCAAAGTGAGCGTAAAACTGGAACAAGTCAAACCTGAGATAACAACTTGGATACAAAACCATTCCACCCACACTTCCCAAACGCGACCAGGGAATCGCCGATCCAATCACATCGCTTAAACACCCACCACAATCGCTACTCGACAAATCCCTTGTGCACTGAGCGACAATGTACAACGTTTGGTTCTCATTCAATTTCAACGTTCCCGTTTTGTACCTGTCAATGCTATCCCCTGTTTCATTCGCCATATCTGCCAACTTAGTTGACAACGTAAACGCAAACGAGTAGCTGTTAATTGCCTCTGGATTCGTCACATTCAACTTCACAACCCTTGGACTCGTTTCCACTCTCGACAAAAACGACCGATTCGAGTACCGAACCAAGCAATCATTGTACCAAACTATAGCCTCGCTTGACAAATCACACACCACGCTCACTTTATCGATTGCGTTTTCAACACACTGTTTGCATAAACTACGAGTCATGTCGCCGCGGCACATGAAGAGACCGTTCATCGTTCCCACTTTGGTTTGAAACTCAGTGGCGTTAGTAGCGTTGCGGGACATGTAGTAAAGGAGTGTGCTTCGGTTTGGTTTAAACGCCATGTCGTTTTCATTGGTTGAACAGTTATGGGAAATATACGCAGGAACTTGAGAACAAGCCGAATCGTTTTGTGAATATTTAGTTTCTGGAACGGGTCCTAATTGTTTTGAAGTAACACGATAGAAAGGATATAATTCATACCTAATGTTGCAACTAGGAAACAGAACCCTTCCTCCTTGTTTATCTTCGCAGCAAAATCTAAGTAAAGATGTTGCTTTTGCGAGACAATTTGAGCAATCTTGGGGTGAGAGATCTTGCGTGCATTGAGCGAGACAATATAGGGTTTGAATTTCGGAAATGTTTGCTTCGTTTGTGGCGTATCTGTTCCCAAGTGGAGAACTCGCTGCGCAATTTGAAGTTTGTTTCATTGTGTCCACCAACAAATTCATGAAATTACTGGTGTTAGAGATTTTGGCCATGTTCCATGAGTAAAATTCGGGAACTGTTTGGGGATCGGAGAAGAAAGAGGTGCTGGAGTAGCGAACCATGCACTCGTCGTACCAGATTATGGCCTGCTTGGAGAGGTAGCATTGTGAGTCTGAGGATGAGAGCCTGTGGGTTGCGTTTAAGATGCATTGTTTGCAGAGGTTAACGGGTACGTCTCCTCGGCACATGAAGAGACCGTAAATTGTTTCGGATGGAGTTTTAACTGTGGTGTTGTAGAAGGTTGTCGTGGCGGCATTGGAGGATAGGGATGAAAGGAGGGTCATGAGGTTTGATTGATAGGTGCTGTTCACTGTGTATAAAATTTCTGGGCAAAATTGAAAAACAAAAGGAGCTTCCTGTGATTCTGTGATTGGGAAATTGAAAGAGATAACGAGGATGAAGAAAAGAAGATCCAAAGGTTTGGAAGGCATGGTGGAGTTCATGGGTCTGTGAGTGTGTTATTATTCGTTCACAGTTGCAACTTTAAGATACCTTCGTCGCTCATGCAACTTTAAGATTCTCGTGTAAACAATTATTTATTATTTTATTTTTTGTGTGTGAGTGACCATTCATTTTAGTATTTTCATTTCTCTTATTTTTACTTTTTTTCTTATGCTATTTTTTTTAACGTTCATTATCGTGTGTATATATATATATATATATATATATATATATATATATATATATATATATATATATATATATAATGATACGATAAAATTTTACTTTCAATTTCAAAAATACTTTATAATTATAAATAATTTCTAATGTTTTTTCACTTTAATCACTCAATTTATATTCTATAAACGACATGTTTATTAGTTTTTTTGTTATTCTTTAAAAATAATCTCAAATACTTAAACTTAAAGACTGACGTTAATTTTAAATTTCAGTACATAATTATTATATTAATTAATTTAAATATATATATATATATATATATATATATATCTTATTTTACTTTTATTTAAACGAAAACTCTTAAATTTCACTTATGTCTTCAAAGTTTATGTTTAATATTAACATTTTTTCTAATTTGTTAACTAAAATTATGTTATTCATAAAGAGCATGCACTTATAAATAATTTTTATATATTATTTATAAGCATATCTAAAATTAAATTAAATAACTAAAGACTCAGAGAATATAATATAAATTTATTTTTACAAGAAAGTCATTAAATATGTCTAAATTAAAATAATTAAAATAAGTTCAAATTCAACATAATAAAAAATTAAGAAAAAAATATTTTATAAAGTTTTACTTTGAATCCTTAACTTCAAAATTTCCAATTTATATATTAATAATTTTGGTAGTTATGAATGTGGGTGGAAATGAGGTCCCTACTTTTGAATGTCTCAGCGGAGATTAATTGCAATTGTGAGAGTCACTATCGGCAGTTATGAGTTGTTCTATTTTAATAAGTAAGTTAGAAGTTTATGAATCTGTGCATCGTTTACGCTATACTCATAAAATAGCCGTTATTCATTCATCTCTTCTCCTTTTCAACACGTAAATTATCCTCATTCACATACTTCCTAATCTGAGAACATAGCTTGTTCAAAAAGAAAATCAATTTTAACACTGTTTCCATTCAAAATGGGTGTGAAGATTCGCTGTTACACTGTCTTTTTTTTTTTTTTTTAATGTTTTTATTAATTTGTTATATTCATTAATTCGTTTCCAGTAAACAAAAATTAATAATAATAATAATAATAATAATACTGGAAAACTTATAAATAATTCTTTTTATTGAGTTGAAAGGAATATTTCTGCATGTTGTTGGGGTGAAAGATTGCATGCTTCTTTGTGTGCATTGTAGAATTCGTAAAAGTGCTTTAACATCATAAATAGATTTTTCACTCGATCGTATTTATGTTATGAGGCAAGGATTTAAGATCGCAAATGCATGGTTGCAGGGAATAAAGTACTTTGCCAATAAAAATCTCAATGAATAAAATGAAATTATAATATATCATATTATACACGATCATATATTTTTATCATATAATTAATTATATAAATATATAATATTTTGTTATTGTTATTATTAGTGTAGAAGAGACTAAGATATATGATAGATATAAAAATTAAGACTAACATAACATATTTTAAATTTTAATAATTAAAATGTTTGATGCTAATTATTTCAGCAATTAAAATGAGACTTTAGTTAATAAATAATATTTTATAATATTATATTTATATTATTTATTAATTAGTTAAATAATAATAATGATAAAATAATAATAAATTTTTTTTATTTATCTTAAATTATGTTTTTATAAATAAATAATTATAAATTACTTTAAAAATACAAAAATAAATTCATTCGACATTAATTTGAATATTAAAAAAATCATATCAAATAAATCTCACAAATGATATTAAATAAATTATTTTATTAAGTTATAACTGGAAATAATATTTAATAAGTACTTAATATGCTATACATTTAGAAGAATAAATCAATGTTGAGTATATAGTTCTTTGAGGAGTAAAAATTTATTAAAGTATTTAATTTATAAACTTATTTCTGTATAACATTTTTTTTTCATATTACCCTAATCACTATATATATATATATATATATATATATATATATATATATATATATATATATATAACATTTGATTCAGAAAATTGTTTTTGTACTTACTCTCGCAAGAGAATTGACTCTCAATGTGTTTATCATATTGTCGTTCAATAGAAATTCTTTTATTTTTTTGACAATTGTAGTTTCATGTAAAAGAATAAAACACACTACTAAAAAGTCTATTTATACAGACGGATTTACAGACAGATTTTTAGAGCATTACGGATGGTTTTTTCTATTACAGACGGATATAAACCGTCTGTAATATCCTCGTCGGTAAATAATTACAGACAGAAAAATTCGTCTGTAAGTTACAGACAGAAAAATTCGTCTGTAAGTTACAGACGGTATAATCCGTCTATAAGTTATAGACAGTAAAATCCGTCTGTAAATCACAGACGGGAAAATCCGTCTGTAATTCACAGACGGAAAAATCCATCTATAAATTACAGACGAAAAAATCCGTCTGTAATCCGTCGGTGATATATTTTACTATAATTGATATTTTTTTATTTGTATAGATAGTTATTTCCTGCTGCTCTTGATTATCACAATTTATAAACAAAATAGAAACTATAGATTCGGCATCTAAACATTCCAAAATGATTTATAAAATATAAAATTTAAATGTTGTTACAAAGGAAGAAAAAAAAGCATCTAAATAAATACATTTAAAAATAAAATACAAGTCTTCATCAGGAATAATCTATATGGTCAGAATCCGAAGGAGCATCATCATCAGTAGAAGAGGAGTCAGTAGAGGAATGATGCATGGAGGTAAAAACCGGTAGTGCTGGAGCTGGTGGAGGAGGAGGAAGAGGTGTGGAGCTGTTTGCTCTCATGAGCTCAAAATAAGCATGCATCTGCTGCATTTGCATATGCTGCTGCGTCATCTGCTGCTGGACCTCCCTTTGCATTCTCGACGTCACCTTCTTCTCTATCTTCTTCTCCATTTTCTTTGCCCACTTCTTCTTCCATGCACTTTCTTTACTCTTCCACATCTCCTCATTCTGCTTTTGGAGTTCTTCATTGAGGGCATGAACCTGAGTGCGGACCATGTCCTCCACATCCTCAGGTGCAAGAGAAGGGCATCTCCAGTGACAGATGCAGGGGACATGGATTCGGCACCATGATAAATTGCTCCTGTCCCCTAACCTGGGAGGTCTGCACTGTTGCTAGTGTGGACGTCGAAGTCGGAGCGGTAGGTGAAGAAGTGTTGCCACGATCAGTTTGCTGAGTAATACCCTTCTTACCTTTACCTTTACCTGCCATATCTGAATCAAACCATATATATGTTTAGAGACAAATACTATAATTTGTTTAAAATATGAATAATATTGGTGATAACTCAAATTAAATAATCATGGCAACCTATCATACATCCACTGACAATTTCTGAGAAACATCTTCCTCAAGAACTATATAAACCTAATACAAATATACAATGTAGTATCAACCTTCTAAAATACATTACAAAAAATTTTAATATAAATTTTGGCAGAATCTCCCCTAATACATGTTAATTTCCTTACATTTGTTTACTATTTTTTTACAAAAATGAAAATTTCACCTAAAATCAACTAATAAATTATATAACAATAAATTATTCGATACATCAAACACAAACACATCACAATCCTAAACCGTTCTAGAGCACATCCCCTTGTAACTCCACAACATGCATATTCTACAAACTCCACAAACACAAATAATCCCACAGCACACAATAATCAGGTTCGGAGAAGGACCTCTACGCCCTTCCCCCCAGTCTACAATCTCCAATCCTACAACTCTATCTTAGAAATTTTAAGTCTCTAAAAAACATAAAAAATTAAAAAACTAAACCGATTAAAAGTTAGAGTATCGTACCAGGAATACAATGATGCAAAAAAACTTTCAAATGATTGCTCCAACAACTCGCAATGGCCAAAACACTGAGCTCTTAGAGAGAGAGAGGGGGGAGCGAGAGAGAGAGGGTTCTGATAATGGGGGAGGGGAAGAGGAGACGCGGTTTTAATGGGTTTCAGTCATTACAGACGGAAAAATCTGTCTGTAATGGGTTTAATGAAACGGTGCGTTTCAGGAGGCACATTACAGACGGATTTTTCCGTCTGTAAATGCGTCAATCCCATTTACAGACGAAAAAATCAGTCTGTAATGTGCCACCTGAAAGGTCGGCTAAAACCACCATATTTACAGACGGTAAAATCCGTCTGTAATTTTCTGCCATAATATTTCATCCTATTTTCAAATTACAGACGGAAAAATCCGTCTGTAATTGCTGTCTATAACGTTTGGCGCCAAAAGACGGGCTAAATACAGACGAATTTTACAGACAGGGTAAAATCCGTCTGTATTACAGACGGATTTACAGACAGATTTTTCAGAAAAAAAAAAATTTATTTCACAAATCCGTCTGTAAAGCCGTCTGTAAAATCCGTCTGTATTAAGCGCTTTTCTAGTAGTGACAGTTTGAACATAAATAGTTTTATTCCATTATCTTCTATTCATAAATATTTATTTATGAAAATGCTAATATTTTAATTAACTAATATTATCAAAATAAAAAAAAAATCTTGTGATGTTGAGCATTATAATAATGTATTTTTATTTTCTCAATTTAACATACACAATAAGAATTTTTATATTTTGTAATAAATATTTTTTTTATATTTTTTCTGGAGAGAATTAAATATTTTTAATAAAATTATATAAAATAAGATAAAATAGTTAGAATATAAAAACTTAAGTAACATATAAATAAAATAAATAAAAATTTAAAGTATAAATAAAGTAATAATTATTAAAAATTAAAAAATGAGAGAATGTTATGTGATATTACAGAAGAAGAAGAACTTTAATAAAAAAAAAATTATATAACATTGTAGTGAAAGCCAAAAATAATTGTATGAAGGAATTGAAGTTTAAGCTAAATGTTTGAAACACGCCACAGTATCGACTAGGGTTGTCCGTTACAAAAAGTTCAAACTGACCTCCATATTATCAGAGTTGTAACCGTCAATGGATTATGGATTAGGCAGATTTCAGATTAAGCAGGTCAGACAAGCAGTTTGGGCCAAAATAATGATTTATTTACCAAAAACTATAAAAAATCTTGCAAACACGCCACTCAAAACACATTCAAATTCACACATACCTCACCTAAAAAATCCAACATCAAATCAAACCATACCAAAAACAATAAAAAAAGAAAAACCTTTCGTACCATTCTCCAAAAGTGTCACCCCACAACCTCTTCCTGAACAATCCATCGACAAACTGACGATCCTCCTAAAGTTCCAACCAACCGGTGACGATTCCAGGCACAAAAATCATCGGGTGTTTCACTGTCAACCCCTCCTTCCTCAATTTCACGTCGGAAGGATCCAACAACGGCTCCGTTATTGCTTTTGCCACGTACTGAGGAAACGACGCTGACATTACACTATATAAAAATAACAAAAATCACTAAAGGGAACATATGAATCCTACTGTCCAACAACAGCTATCCACGCACGTCCATGTCTTTATCTTTCCACTCTTCTCCTTCACCTTCTCTTCCTTTTGAATATTCTCGAATATGGAAGGAGAGTTCGAACCTTTTAGCCCCACCCACTAAACACACTGCCATTTTCTATGTGTCACTAAGGTTTCATTATTTTTAATATTAATTTAATAGGTAGTCGGGTCGGTTCGAATTTCAATTCTCTTATCCAAATCCGACCATTTTTAACCATATAAGTCCGTTTTTACTGATATGAATTTCTCCTAAATAAGTCGATCGGCCCTATCCATGTTTTGGACATTCGGCTAACCCGGATTCGGACGGACTTAGCATTTTTGTATAGCCCTAGTATCGACGTCAAAGTGAGTTTGTTTTTGTTTCTCAAGCACGGTTGACTTCAAGCAGAGAGGAGAGGGAATTGACAAAAAAAAAAATTGCAAATTGGTGAAGATGTGAGTGTGGTGGTACATGAAAATTCTATGGAGGTGATTAATAAATTAGTTGAGATGGAAGCAAGAGATAGGCGAGAGGCAGCTAACAAAGAGGGTGCCATTGGTCATCAATAAAATTTCTAACATTTAATATCTAGGGGTTGAAGGTCAATTGAAGAAGAAGAAAATTAGAGAGATAATTAGGAATGAAGGTATTGATATCTCAACTCTCCAAGAGACTAAGCTTGAGACTTATTCTAGAGAGGTGTGTGGTCAAGTATGAAACGATGATGACTTCAAGTAGTGTGAGTGGTTTGCAGTTGGAAATAGTGATGTTTTGTTTACTATTTGAAATGCAACAAAAAGTAAGCTATTCTTCACCTTTCGTAGATTAGGTTTTGTCAGTGTGTGCCTGGAGTGGGGACAAAACAGGAAGCAAGTAAGAATACTAAATATTTACTCTCCATATCGATTGAATGACAGAAGAAGGTCGTGGAAAAACATATGTATGTCTAAATGTGAATTGGGGAAGGAGTTATGGTGTGTTTTGAGTAATTTTAACGCAATTCGAGATCATGAAGAAAAAAAAAAGGAGGGATGAGTTTGGTGGATTTGTAAACAAGTCAATGGGTGGATAGATTCTAATGTCACACAAGTTATTAGCAATGATTGTTCCTTTAGTTTTTTTAGGGATAAATGGGTAGAAAATATTGTGTTGACGAATTCATACCCAAGACTATTTTCAGCAACGACTAATAAGGAAACGTAGGTGGTAGATAATGGACGATTAAGATAGACCAATAGGTATGAGAAATTCCTTGGAGAAGACAATTGTTTTTATAGAAAGAGGATTTATATTAGTTGTGGGAGACTATAGAAAGGAAGAGGCTCAGGAAAAGTGTGAATGACATGTTGATGTAGAAGTGTGATAGTAATGAAGACTATAGTGTTCAATCTGTTTATTACTATATTCATAATTTCTTCATTGTAGGTAGTGATTTGAAGTTGTGTATAGTGCAGGCATTACACAAAAGTTGGAAAGTCAATGCATCTAGAGAAATAGTGGTATTTGTGTGGTGTTTGTTACTTAATGCAATTTCAATGATAAGGAATTTGACCAAACACAATTTGACGATTCTATTAGAAGCTTGTGTGTACCAAAAATGAGGAGATATTGTACCTATTTTTACATTGTAGTATTTCTATGAGACTTTGGTACATGGTGTTCAAATGGTTTAGTATCAGTATATGTTTATCTGAAAATTTGCATGACACATTGCTAAATATGTGTAGAATTTGATATGAAAAAAAGAAATGGACAGAAGTTGTAATAGCATGATTTGCAGTAATATGGATAATTTAACTTCAACAAAATAATATTCTCTTCACGACATGTCAGTATAATATTTGATTATATTAAATATCGTTTCTTGGAAGTGACTTGCAGTAGAAGCTTTAAAAAACTCAATTATGTATGTGAATTGAATTAATAATCTTTTTAAATATATTGTAAATTTTTTCTAAAAATATAATAAGTTAAAGTACTCCTTTACTCTGATTTTATTTTGATACTTTAAAAAAAACTTATATATATATATATATATATATATATAATATCAAAATATCTTTTGAAAATTAATTGGGTTACATGAGCCAAAGTCTCTTGGCACTAATATAAAATTTTGTGATTTTTATGTAGTTCTAACCGTTACAAAAACGTTTTTAAATAGGGATTATATATTATCTGTCATTTCTAATTATTAATATTTACATATAAAATAAGATAAGAGTCCTGTAAAATAGAGGTTTCTATTTATAATTTTTCAGTATTTTTAATTCACTCAAATAAATGAAAATTTTTATTTTTATATTTACTTTTCTTTTCATCGTGTTATCATCCATCTCATGATAAAGTTATTAATGTTCAAATCCTAAGATCATTTTCATAAAACATTTTGTGTGAATATTGCAAACCTTGTATTGAGATCATTTTTCTAAGGTTTTAAACAAATCTATGCTTTTGGCCAAATACGCTCATCAAAGGAAAGGCATGAAGTCAAGAAAACTTAAGATCAGAATCTATATACAAACTTTTGAACCTAACTTACAGTTTGTAGAGTATTATTATTTACCCAACTAAACGAAAATGTTTTTAAATGTAAAATAACATTGATAAAGATTTACATATATACAAAAGGTATAATATATTATTTTATTTTATTTTTTGTTACATTGTGATGTCAATTGTGATATTAGAGAATTTTCATGGAAAGTTGTTTCCAGTTAACATCAAATATATATAAAGTTGGAAAACATATCGAGAATGTTTAATAATAAATAATAAAAACATTATATAACTTTTGTGTTTTAAACGGATATTCAAATCACTAACTTGTACTTAAATTAGTGATTAAATTAAAGTCAATTTTAATTATTTATTTAAAACATAAAAACCATGTAATATTTTTAAAAAGTCACATTAAAATGATCATATAGTTTTAATTAATTTTCAATTTTGACTATCCACTGTGATTTGTACAAACTAAATTTACTTTTTTTTATTCTCTTAAAAAATCACATTTTTGACTGGACAGAATTCATACTAAATGAGAATTCACCATGTTATATATGTTTTGTGTAGCTTATCTTTATTTCAACAAATAATTTAAGAATCATTCGAAGACTTCTAATGTACAAAATATTAAAAAACAAAATAAAATTAAAATATTATTTTAATCTTTATTTACAAAAGTGTCAAATTAAATGAAAATTTACTATACATTGAAATGAGTAGATAATGATATTTAATGATAAATTAACACATTATCGAGGATAGAATTTACTTATAGACATTTCATTCACAGAGAGTGGTATAGAATTATTGATAGATTGACTGGAACTTGATTCATGTGCAACTTTTATTTGATCCATTCCACCATGTAAGAGAAATGCTGGTTCTTTTGGAGATGGCAAATCAATTGATTGACTACTAAGATATGTAACAACTGTCACCATAGTAGGTCTAGCATTGGGATCTTCTTGAACACATAATAAGCCAAGTTGAATGCATTTAATGACCTCATTTTTAGAATAATTTTCTCTCAATTTTGGGTCTAATATGTTCAATGGTGCTTGGTCCCTCCAATGTCTCCAAACCTATAACAATTTGTAAAGTTACAATCAAACCATTACATTTTCCTAGTTTTAAATCAATTTCAACATGAATAATAATAATAATAATAATATCATTGGAAGATTATTTCACTTACATAGCCTAGGAGACCATTAGTTGTGTGATATGATTCATAAGAACCAGTATTCTTTTTTCCAGCAATAATCTCTAGAACCATAATTCCGAAGCTAAAAACATCTGATTTTTCAGAAAATTGTCCAAACATTGCATATTCTGGAGACATATAGCCACTACAAAATTGAAAATAAACAAACATATCAATATTTATATAAAGCATGTTATGATAAAGTGAGAATGTGTACTCAAAACTTACTATGTTCCAATGATTCTGTTAGTACTTTTTTCATCTTGATCTATTTCTACAATTCTAGCAAGACCAAAATCTGAAATTTTTGGATTCATATTTTCATCTAATAAAACATTACTAGGTTTAAGATCACGATGTATGATTTTAAGTCGAGAATATTCGTGTAAATAAAGAATTCCTCGAGCAATCCCTCCTATAATTTTGTAACGATCAGACCAAAGTAAAATCCCTTGAACTTTAGTATCTGCAAAAAATATTCAACAAGTGAGAAAATTAAGTGATGCATGGTTTGTAATTAATTCTCAGCTAATTCAAGATATAATGTATCAAGACATCATAAATGCACAATTTATGAATGCTTAACTTTAAAAAACTAAATAAAAGTGAAAAGCATCTAACCAAATAAGAAGTAATCTAAACTCTTGTTCGGCACATATTCATATATAAGTATTTTTTCTTGTTCGTCAAGAAAAAAATCCTATAAAGGTCACTAAATTTCTATGTTGAAGCTTGGCTATCAACATGATCTCATTTTTGAACTCCGCTACACCTTGTGTAGAAGTTCTTGAGAGCCTCTTCACAGCTATATGTCTTCCATCAATAAGAATGCCCTGAAAATACATTTGATTGATTTACGACAAAAGCATGAACATATAAGAAATAAATTGTGTCTTATTTTTTCTGCACCTTATAAACTTCTCCAAATCCACCCTCGCCAATCTTGTTCTCACTGGAAAAGTTATTAGTTGCTGCTTTAATTATATCCAAATCAAATTGCAATGGCTCCAGAGCGGTACTTTCTTCTCCAACTATACCAAAATGTTGCAATAGTTAAATTAGGTTCGTAAAAGGCTACTTGATTTTAAAAGTAAGATGATAACATGGATTTATATATGAATTTTGTTCACAACACTTACAGTTTTCTCTAAGTATAGTTTTGTAATTCTTTCGTATTTTCTTCTGTATGAAGCAGTAGCCCAAAGAGAAAAGTATTGCAGAAACAATAATGATGGGAACCACGATGAAGATAGTAGTTTGTGACCGACCTAAAAATAAAAATAACATGTCAGTAAATTCGTCATAATGAGTGGATGAGAAAAACATGACAATAACTTTTTTTAAAGTAAAAAAATGGTTATTTCTTGCTATTATTTCAATATCTATAATAAAAATATATTATTTAAAATATTCTTAA